CAAAGTTCTCAAGACAGTGTCTCATGCTTCTCTGTAATTGCTCATCCCCTCCCTTGTTCACACCTTCAGGGGACAATTTCTCTCACATTCCAGAGGAAAACTTCTGCAGCTCATGGTAGCTAAGAAGCAGAAAGGGAGAGAGGCCAGGGACAAGGTATGATAGTCAAGGGCACAACCCCCACTGACCTACTTCCTCCATAATACACCACCTACAGTTTCCTCCCAGTTGTCCATTCAAATTATTAATCCACCAGTGGATTAATCCATTGATAAGGTTCAAACTCTTACAAGCTAATGACTTCCAAAAGTCATACCTCTGGAACTGTCACATTGTGGGTCAAATTTTCAACACATGAAATTTTGGGGGCATTCCAGATCCAAACAAAATATTCTACCCTTGGCCCCAAAACACTCATGTTCATCTCACAATGCAAAATTCAGGCCATTTCCAAGAGTCCCCATAGTCTTAGTAGTTCTAGCATTTCTCAAAAATCCAAATCCAAAATCTCCTCTATGACTCAAGACAAGCTCTTATCTATGATCTCCCAGTAAAAATTAAACCAATCTGCACCTCAGACAGAACATTAATCTCCAGGGTACATAAAGAACTCAAAAACCTTAACACAAAAAGTAAATAAATAAATAACTCAATCAATAAATGGGCAAAGGAACTGAACAGACACTTCACAGAAAAATAAATATGATCTGTCAATAAATACATAAAAATGTTCAACATCACTAGCAATTAGAGAAATGCAAGTTAAAACTACACAGAGATTTAGTTCATCTAACTCCAGTCAGAATGGCAATTATCAAGAATACAAGTAACAATGAATGTTGGTGAAAAGGTTCACTCATACATTATTGCTGGTGAGACTGCAAATTGGTGCAATTATGTAAAGCAATATGGAGATTCCACAGAAAACTTGGAATGGAACCACCATTTGACCCAACTATCCCACTCTTTGGCATATACCCAAAGGACTTAAAATCAGCATACTATAGTGACTCAGCCACATCAATGTTTACAGCAGCACAATTCACAATAGCTAAGCTATGGAACCAAACTAGGAGCCCTTCAACAGATGAATATACATTTGGAATATTACTCAGCCATAAAGAAGAATGAAATTATGGCATCTTCTAGTAAATGGATGGAACTGAAGACCATCATGCTAAGTGAAATAAGCCAATCCCGAAAAAAAAAAAAGAAAAAGGCCAAATTTTCTCTCTGATATGCACACACTAACTCACAATAGATGGCAAGGGAAGAGAAGTGGAGGTTCACTGTATTAGATAGGGGAAATTGAAGGGAAAGTGGGGATGGGAATGAGAAAGACAATAGAATGAATCAGACATAACTTTCCTGTGTTCATATATGAACACACTACCAGAGAAACTCCAAATCAGGTAAAATCACAAAAATGTGAAGTTATACTCCATGTATATATGATCTGCCAATATACAGTCTACTGTCAAATATAACTAAAAAGAACAAATAAAAAGAAAAGAAAAAAGAAATGTCAGGATACTTTACACACAAAAAAAAAATCAAAGGGTAATACCTTCAACCATTCCAAAGAAAGAAATGGAGTCAAGGAAGGGATGCTACCAAAGCAAGATAAAAGTCAACAAGGCAAACAATAAATCCTGTAGCTCCACATCTGGCATCTGGAGCAGCCGGTGGCAAGATGTGAGTCCCAAGGGATTTAACCAACTTTGCCACCCTTGGCCCTGTTGGTTGCAGTCCACAGGCCTCTCCTTTGGGCTGGCTCTGCTTGTTCTTTATAGCTTTCTTGAGCAGATATTCCTCATTCCTGGAATTGCTAACACCCTAGGATCTCCATTACAGCTTCACTTTCATAGCTTCATGCATCACCCTCTTTGGGGCTGCCTGCAGGGATTCTGACCCTGGGACACACTGTCTGGCCTCACAATGTTTCCTTTGAAATCTTGGTGGAAGCTTCCATGATCCCATAACTCTTGCATTCTTCATGCCTGAAAAACCAACACCATATGAATAATAATCCACTGCCAACCCAAGCAGTGTCCAGGTCCCCCTGGGCATGGCTGCAGTGGTCTCTGAGTGCCTGAGTGGCTGAGCATGGATGAAATATTCCTACAGAAACATCTTCCAATGCAGCCTGTGCAAGCAGGGTGACCCAGTGTTCTCTTCTCAAAGTAAAGTCTTTCAAATGAACTTTCATTTCTAGGCCTGTGAATGTCTAGTGCGTTCAGGTCCCTGGGTGTAAGGGTCGCGAAATCACCGGGACACAGGGGATGCAGARCCAAGGCAGCAATTGCAACTGCATGCTGAGGTTTATTTGCAAGTTTCTTTTATATTTTTCTTCTAACAAAGCAAGCAATTCTTCAGTAACACTTCATCCACATTGCCCAAATATCATGTCTCAGCAGGTACACAGAGCTAAATTCAGATTGTTCCTGTTCATTTGGTAAGTACCCTCCCAAAGTTCTTTGTAGACATTATCTAATGCCCGAATGTACTGTTCCCAGGTCCAGTATGCAGGAAGCTTCTTCCTCTAGGCCAAACCATGCAGAACTTGTGAATTGTGATAAGGAGAAGAGAACTTTTCCTCCTCCTAGCTGAGGTTTGCCTCAACTGACCTAAATCACAGCCACATCTCTTTGCAAAGTGTCAGGCTGAGGGAGCTAAACTCTGCACACTTAAACCCCAACATAGGCCCTTGAGCATTCCATGGGTATGATGTCTAGATAACCTCAGGCTTCTTTCTCATTGTCTTGGTGCAAAGTAATCCTTTCATTTCAATGGCTCTAATCTCCTCAGCAACCACAACTTCCTTGGCCCAAATTTTATACCCACTTTTCTGACCAAACGGCAAATTTTCCAAATCTTTCCAATCTGCTTTTTGCTCCCAATTCTCCTTTTAAATATGGCTAAAATTTTCCAGCAATATCCATGCCACTGTTCAAATACTTCGCTGCCCTGAAATTTTCCCCACCAGATTAATTAATCCATCACCTTTAAATTCAGTTTCACATAGTCTCTGAACATGGATAAAATGTAGACAAGTTCTTTTGCAGAATGCAACACAAATAGCCTAGTCCTGTTCCCACTAGAATTTTCATTTCCATCTCAAACCTTATGAGCACAATCTTTATTATTTTCATTCCTATTAGCATTCTGGTCTTCTGAGCTCGCTCCAGAATCATTCAATAAGCTCTATCCACATACAACATTCTAAGGCTCTCTAGCCTGCAGATCCAAAATTTCACAAATTCCTCCCACAAACCATTCCAAAGGCTTCTGAAACACAGCAATGACCCTATTTCTTGGTACCAATTTTCTGTCTTAGTCAGCTTTTCATCACAGTGACCAAAATACCTGATGTAAACAGCTTAAAGGAGGAAAAATTAATTTTGGTTCATAGCTACAGAAATTTGAATCCTTAGTCAACTGGCTTCATTGTTGTGGGCACAGGTGAAGCAGAACGTCATGGAAGAAGGGTATTGCAGAGGAAAGCTTTACAGCTCACGGCAGCCAAGAAGAAAAAAGGAAAAAACAAGGAAGGGATGGGTCAAGGACAAGATATAGTCCCCAAGGGCACAACCCTTGTGACCTACTTCCTCCAGCCATGCCCAAACTGTCCAACCAGAGAGACGTACTTAATGTGGATTCATTTAAGAATTGGCAAAAGTCTCCATGTAAAGGAATGCACAATGGGATTTACTCTTAACACTGCCACACAGCTCCTATCTATCATCTATCTCCTAAGAATGTAAATTTTGTCACTACCATAACATTTTAGAGAACTTTTCAGCAGCTGCTGAAGGTATACCCACATTAACACCTCATAGTTGCTAAGAGATTCTAAAACCCACATCATAATTTGCTTTAGCCTAAATTTACAGGAACTCAAATGGGCCAATGTAGCAAGAAATCAAAAGAACAGGAAGAAGAAAAAACACTATCCCTTTTAAACTGACATTACTATAACTCCCTAAAACGTTAAATCTGAGAACACACTACCAACAATACCCACAAAGCTAAACTGGCTACATCCTATAAGATAACCCAGAAAAGACACAGATACTCCTTTACCTGAAGCCCTGGCTAGGGTTCCAGAGGCCCATCCTACTTAGCAGGGCTCAGATGCGTGGAGTCAAAGAGAACTAATATCTTTGGGTTAGTTCCTGGCTCTAGACTAGACTCTTGCCTATGGTTCTGGAAACTGAAGACAGACAAGTTTTATAGCAGGACTAGGATATGAGGAATGTCCTATAATCTTCTGATTATGTTTAGGAATTACTTACCCCAAATGCATTTTAATAAACCTTGGGGGGCCGGGGGGCTGGGGTTGTGGCTCAGTGGTAGAGCACTTGCCTAGCACATGCGAGGCCCTGGGTTCGATCCTCAGCACCACATAAAAATAAATAAACCAAATAAAGGTATTGTGTACAACTAAAAAAAATAAATATTTAAAAAATAAACCCTTTATGGATTCTTAGGGCTTGGACCTGACTTTATGTCCAATCTTCTAAATATTCCTATCAAGTTCTATTTCAAAACCATGAATACTTCTACCAAAACATGACTGACCATAAATCAGGGATCCTCATACTTACAAAGTACACTAGGGGAAACTGAGGCCCAGAGCTTCATTCAATACCTAAGGAAAAAAGACTGACAGAGATCTCCATGTTCTAAGGTAAATAGTTGTAGAGCAGCTTCACAACACAGATCACCTAGCTTCCAAGTTAGACTCTGTGATCTCCACCTCCCTGCCTCTTAAGATGCATCACAGAGATTTGAAGCGGGGAGTGACCCTCAGGTCTGAAATCTTTACTATCTAGGGCTAAGTAAGCCCTTATTTTCCTTTGAGCCCCTCACACTCTAGTAATCACTCTGTGACAGAAGGCTCAAGTATACTCAAAAGGCAACAGTGCTATATTCCGTAGTCTTCCCAAGAATGACACAGGCGTTCCTACTCAGGATCCCCACCAGACCATACAGGCCTTACCTGAGCAGATGACTCCAATTTCCATACCATGGGAAGAGAGATATCTAAAGTCAGATTGAAATTGTGCACAATCTTTGATAGTTAGCTCTGTCCCTTGACAGCGAAAAGATTTAAACAAAATGGGCCCAACCCCTGACTCAAAATGGGCCCTTCTAAGAGCCTCAACAGCAGCTCCACATCCCAACTGTCTGCACACCACAGCTGCCTCCTTCAAGTGCCACTGGAAATTAAATACACTGCTCCATTTGTTTAGGTGCTTCACCTCTACTCTCCCCTCACAGCGGTGGCCTCCATTCTTCAACCTCAGCTCCATACCTGCAAGACAGACACAGACACAGTGCATGAGGTTAGGAGACCATATGTGGTATGCTGATAATATTCTAAAATTAACTCTGGGGAAAAAATAATTCCTGACATTTATTATTTGTTGATTTGTGTGTGTGTGTGTGTGTGTGTAAATTTCCCCACTGTGGCTGTGTGTATATGTGTGTATGTGTGTGTTTGAGAGAGATACTCAGAATTGAACCCAAGGGCATTCTACCACTGAACTACTTCCCCAATCCTTTTTTTTTTTTTTTTCATTTTGAGACCAGGTCTCACTAAGTTGCCAAGGCTGACTTCAAACTTGTGATACTTCTGCCACCCAAGTAGCTAAAATTACAGGCATGAGCCATAATGCCCATAACGTGGCCATTAAGTATTTATGGCATCACTAAACATGGAGTTGGAAAGACCTCACAATTATATCTCATTAGCTGGTAGGACCCAGCTCTAGGCACACCACTGGGAACAGACCTTCTGAAAACTCTGGATATAAATGTGTCTAAAGCTGGGAAGGGTCCAGCCTCCCCATCTTAGTTACAGATCACACAGTCATCAGGCCAGTGGAAGAATCTTCTCTCTCTCCTTCAATCCCTTAGGAAGCATTCTTATTTATCTTAGAAACAAATAGACTGTAGTTAGCAGTCGTCTCTAAAATGCCCCAATTATTTCAGCCTCCTGGTATTTATGCCCTTGTGTAATCCCCACCTTGAGTGTGGGTTGAAATAATAACTTGACTCTAACAAATAGAATTTGGAAAAAATGATGAGACTTCACATAAGAGATTAGGCTTCAAAAAGACTCTGGTGATTGAGAGGGATGGAGGAGGGACAGGAAAAAGGAGAGAATATGGAATAGATTTAACAAAATCACATTATGTGCATGTATAAATATACCACAGTGAATTCCAGCTTTATGTATGTGGATAGACTACCAATCACAAATAAACCAATTAAAAAGTAAAGGAAGATCAGTAGAGTAGAGGAAGGTGAATGGGGGAGGAAGGAAGAAAGGGAAGAAAAGAGGAGGCACACCAGGGACTGGAATGGAGTGAATCAAATTCCATGCATGTATGATTTTGTCAGAATGAGCCCAACTATATGTATAATTACAATGCTCTAATAAAAATTATAACAAAATAAAAAAGAAGACTGGCTTCTCTCTTGTTGACCTATCTTGCTTTCTTGCTTGCTTACTCTGATGAAGCCAGTTGCGATGTTGTGAGTTGTGTTATAGAGATTCATGTGGCAAAAAAATGAATGAGGTCTCTAGCCAACAGCCAGTAAGGAACTGTTCTCAGTTCAACAACCCATGAAGGCCTAAATCCTATCAATAACAATGTGACTGAGTTTGAGTGGGATGCACTGTTAGTTGAACCTTAAGATGATTGTAAAATATCGAGATAATATCTTGTATTCTATCAGATCACAATGAATGAAATTAGACATCAGTGATAAATGACAGAAACCATTCTAATACACGGAGATTAAGTTGTACACTTTTGAATGATGAATAATAGCAAAAGAAATCAAGAGAGAAATTTTTTAAATTCTTAGAAGTAAATAAGACTACAGATACAACATATCAAAATTTCTGGGATAGAATTAAGGTAGTTCTAAGAGTAGAGTTCATAGCATGGAGCTCATACATTAAGAGAATAGAATGAGCTTTTTCGCATTGGGTTTTCCACCAGAACTTAGGTGTTGTGAAAACCACCGCTAAATCAAAACCAAAATGGGAAAGGAAAAGACTCTCATCAACATCATTGTCATTGGACACATAGATTTGGGCAAGTCTACCACTACTGGCCATCTGATCTACAAATGTGGTGGGATCCACAAAAGAACCTTTGAAAAATTTGAGAAGGAAGCTACTGAGATGGGAAAGGTCTCCTTCAAGTATGCCTGGGTCTTGGATAAACTGAAAGCTGAATGTGAGCTTGGTATCACCATTGACATCTCCCTGTGGAAATTTGAGACCAGCAAGTATTACGTGACTATCATTGATGCCCCAGGACACAGAGACTTTATCAAAAACATGATTACAGGCACATCTCAGGTTGACTGTGCTGTACTGATTGTTGCTGCTGGTGTTGATGAATTTGAAGCTGGCATCTCCAAGAATGGGCAGATCCGTGAGCATGCCCTTCTGGCCTACACACTGGGTGTGAAACAACTAATAGTTGGTGTTAACAAAATGGATTCCACTGAGCCACCCTACAGTCAGAAGAGATATAAGGAAATCGTTAAGGAAGTCAGCAACTACATTAAGAAAATTGGCTACAACCCTGACACAATAGCATTTGTGCCAATTTCTGGTTGGAATGGTGACAACATGTTGGAGCCAAGTGCTAATATGCCTTAATTCAAGGGATGGAAAGTTACCCTTAAAGATGGCAGTGCCAGTGGAACCACATTGCTTGAAGCTTTAGATTGCATCCTGCCACCAACTCATCCAAATGACAAGTCTTTGCGTCTGCCCCTCCAGGATGTCTACAGAATTGATGGTATTGGTACTGTCCCTGTGGGCCGAGTGGAGACTGGTGTTCTCAAGCCTGGCATGGTGGTCACCTTTGCTACAGTCAATGTCACAACTGAAGTAAAATCTGTTGAAATGTACCATAAAGCTCTGAGTAAAGCTTTTCCTGGAGACAATGAGGGCTTCAATGTCAAGAACGTGTCTGTCAAAGATGTTCGACATGGCAATGTTGCAAAAATGACCCATCGTTGGAAGCAGCTGGTTTCACTGCTCAGGTGATTATCCTGAGCCATCCAGACCAAATCAGTGCTGGCTATGCTCCTGTACTGGATTGTCACACAGCTCACATTGCTTGAAAGTTTGCCGAGCTGAAAGAATAATCGCCATTCTAGTAAGAAGCTGGAAGATGGCCCTAAATTCTTGAAATCTGGTGATGCTGCCATTGTTGATATGGTTCCAGGAAAGCCCATGTGTGTTGAGAGTTTCTCTGACTATCCTCCTCTGGGTTGTTTTGCTATTCGTGATATGAGGCAGACAGTTGCTGTGGGTGTCATCAAAGCAGTAGACAAGAAGGCTGCTGGAGCTGGCAAGGTCACCAAGTCTGCTCAGAAAGCTCAGAAGGATAAATGAATATTATCCCTAATACCTGCCACCCCAGTCTTAAACAGTGGTGAAAAAAACGGTCTCAGAACTGTTTGTCTCAATTGGCCATTTAAGTTTAATAGTAAAAGACTGGTTAATGATAACAATGCATCGTAAAACCTTCAGAAGGAAAGGAAAATGTTTTGTGGACTATCTTGTTTTGTGTGTGTGGCAGTTTTAAGTTATTAGTTTTTAAAATCAGTACTCTTTAATGGAAACAACTTGACCAAAAATCTGTCACAGAATTTTGAGATCCATTAAAACAAAAGTTTAATGAGAAAAAAAAGAGAGAGAAAATAGAACAATAACAAATAAATAATCTAACATTACATCTTAAGGCCCCAGAAAAAGAACAAACTAACACCAAAATTAGTAGAAGACAGGAAATAATTAAAATCAGAGAATTTAAAAAATACAAAAGATCAATAAAACAAAAAGTTTGTTTTTTAAAGGATAAACAAAATTGATAAACCCTTAGCCAAACTAATCAAAAGAAAGAAAAACTCAAATAAACAAAATGTAAGACGAAAAAGAATATATCACCATATACACTACAGAAATCCAGAAGATCATTAGAAACTATTTTGCAAATTTATATTCCAATAAGCTAGAAAATCTTGATAATACTGACAAATTCCTAAAGATGTATGACTTACTCAAATTGAACCAGGAACACATAGAAAACTTAAAAAGATAAATATCAAGTAATGAAATTGAAGCAGCTATCAAAAGCCTTACAACAAGGAAAAGCCCAGGACAAGATGAGCTCAGCCAAGTTCTACTACACCTTTAAAGAATAACTAACACCAATTCCCTTCAAATTAGTCCATAAGATAGAAAAGGAAAGAATACTGCCAAACCCATTCTACAAAACCAGTTATCAATAACAAAACCAGACAAAGATACATCAAAGAAAACTTCAGATCGACATCCTTAATAAACATAGTTGCAAAAATTCTTAATAAAATATTGAGAAACTGCATACAAAAATATATTTAAAATATATTGTACCATGATCAAGTGGGTTTCAGTCCATGGATACAATGTTGGTTCAATGTACAGAAATCAGTAAATGTAATTCACCACGTCAACAGATTTTATTAAAAACAAGAATCGTATTATTATCTCAATACATCCAGAAAAAACATCTTGCCAAAAACAAAGTACAGCAGCCATTCATGTTCTAAACACTGGAAAATCTAGTGATAGAAGGAATTTACCTCTACATTGTAAAGGTTATATATGCAAACCCAAGGCCAACATTATACTGAATGAGGAAAAACTGGAAGAATTTCCTCTAAAAACTGAAAGCATGTCCTCTATAGTCAAGGATGACCACTGTCACCACTCCTATTCAACATAGTCCTTGAAACTCTAACAGAGCAATAGGCAAAAGAAGGAAATTAGAGATTACAAATAGGAAAAGATGAGTTCAAAATATCTCCATTTGCTGATGACACAATCCTATATTTAGAAGACCCAAAAAACTCCACCAGAAGACTTCTGGATCTCATAAATGAATTCATCAAGATAGCAAAATACAAAATCAACACTTATCCTCTATTCTGTACCATTGGTCCACCCGCCTGTTTTGGTACCAGTACCATGCTGTTTTTGTTACTATTGCTCTGTAGTATAGTTTGAAGTCTGGTATCGCTATTCCACCTGATTCACACTTCCTGCTTAGCATTGTT